TCATGGACTGACTTCATTTCAAGAACCAATGAATAATACGAATTACCGTGGAGATTTTTCTTTGGTACTGTGAGATTCTTAAACAATATATACATCCACAGCTCCATGACGGATGAAACGAATGCACATAAGTACATTAGCAGGAAGGGTGTATAATTTTTTTAACATACATAAATTATATCTGAAAGTTTTCTCATTCACTTACAATCAATAATCATTCCCAATGACAAACATAATAAAATTATCTGATGCCTGAAAATCTCCTAAATTAGAAATATTAATATCTAAAAAAAATATATAAAAAAACACTCCAAAGTACTTTTGCAATGTATAATCTATTAAGTACAACATTGAAGTAATTCCTTAAAGAATATCCCAAATATGGACATAATCTATAATAAAGTTCCATTTTGTTTTGAATATTTTAGCTCTTGGCTATAATATTACATCAAATCATATGATTACTGTTGTGATTATTTTTCTCATGTGAAACGAAAGTAATTTTCATTGATATTATCTTTATTGATAACCATATGATAGATACATTAAAATGTTATTTTATTGTTATGTCCTTAATATTATTGTTGATATTATTCGTTTATATGGGAAATGAAAGCATCAATTTATTATCAGGCCAGTAATTTGTCAGAATAACATTCATAGATTATAATCTTTGTATGAAGAACTTATCAATAATCAATTTTAACTAATCAAATTGATTATTGAGTAAATAAAATTATATTAACTAAACACTCATTAATGAATGATTGTTTAGAATAATGTGGAAGGTTCATAGAACAAAAGGACGATTATGATGGAGTTTTTGAGCGTAGTACGCTTCTCGTCGTTAGAAAATGGGAAAATTTCGCCAAAAGACAGGCTTCCACCTGAGAACAACTGTATTTTCTCAATAGGTGTCTTCGTTAGAATGATGTATTATATATATATAACATAAGATCAATATAAGTTTTAAATAGAAATATATTTTTCTTTTTGATATGCCACAACAGTTGCTACTACATTTTATAGTCAATATGTCAATACAACAATTACTAGCTTTCTGTCTCTAGATTTTATATTTAAAATTTTATGAAGCTAATCTTTACGTACTTACTTCATATACTGTATATACATTTATAACTGTAGATCAACCTTTTTTCACATAGCTGTAGACCACATCTTATGACATTTTACCAGATTTTCTCGAGAATCAAGCCTCAATATCGGTCAGCACATAGTATGTGATTCTTGTTTAGTTGTATTGACCAGTTGGTTTCAGCTCATAATGTAAATAGTCATTAAAATGAAGCAGTCTTTACATGACACTAATCTAGAGATATTTCCCCACAAATGTGGGACAAGCTAAAAAAACTGATTAAAATAAGAGGAAAATAGGCATCAGTTTGCTACAAAAAGGCATTCGTATATATGTGCTGATCAGAACAGTTTGAACAGGATACATCGAATACAGTTAGCTAACTCATGTCAATTGATAATTGGCAGATAATCGGATCTTATTATCCTGTCTGTTTAAACCACCAGCAACAAAAAATGAACCCCTGCCTATTCAACCAGTCATGGCGTTTCGCACATATTTCCAGTTACGTTTAATAATAAACACAACAACATAATATATACCGGTTCTCTATCTGCACACTCTTGGACCAACAAACTTTTCTCTTGTATACTAATGATTGAATAAAAAAAATACCGATTAACATACCTTTTAGCGTAGATAGAGGCTTCATTTGTTTACTAATCTTTAGTTAATAATAATATACAGGCATACATACACAAACATTCACATATTATTGACTAAAATTTTATATGATACAAAAATGTAAACATCTAAACATGGTTGGATAAGCTTTTAGTGAATATTCGCTATTATACCTCAGATAATCTTTGATAATTTTAGTTTTAGTTTGTTTCTCTGTAGAAATTTGCGTCAGCTTGTAAGACGTAAACGCTACGTTTTCCATATTTTGACCTACCATATGTGATTTATTCACAAAATAATCACTATCGCTTAATTTTGAATTTGATTACACAACAGGCTGAATTCTATAGGAATCGGTGGTGCACAAACCAAACTGTGACAATACGAATCATCGTCGAACAATCAATTGAGTGGAACTCGTCACTGTACATCAGCTTCATTGATTATGAGAAAGAATTTGACAGTATGGATAAGAGAATATTGTGGGACCCTCTTCAACACTATGGAGTACCTGAGATCTTCAACGTCATACGGAATTCATACAACAGACTACAATGCAAAGTGGTGTATAAAGGACAGCTGACAGACTCATTTCAAGTGAGAACCAGAGTCAAATGAGACTCACTACTCTTCCTCTTCTTCTTCCGTCTGGTGGTCGACTGGATTGTGAAGGCTTAAACATCTGAAGGGAAGCACGGAATATAATGGACAGATTGAGTGCAACTAGATTATTTGGACTTCGCAGATGACGTGATCCCTCTATCCCATACGCAACAACAAATGCTGGTCAAGACAACCAGTGTAGCAACAGTTACTGCATCAGTTTAATTCAACATACACAACGGAAAAGCTAGATCCTCAAATACAACACGGAGAACACCAATCTAATCACACTTGATGGAGAAACTCTGGAAGAGGTGGGATCTTTCATGTACCTGGGTAGCATCATCGATGAACAAGGAAGATCGGATGAGGACTTAATAGCGAGGATTGGTGAAGCAAGAACCGTATTCTCTTAATTGAAGAACATATGGAACTGAAAACAACTGTCAATTTATATAAAAGTCAGAGTATACAAAATGCAAATGTCAAGACAATTCTACTGTATGGAGCTGAAACGTTGAGAACTATTACAACCATCCATCACCAAGAAGGTACAAGTATTTACAGACAGTTCTCTACGCAATATACTGAATTTTCGTTGGCCGGATACCATCAGCAACAACTCACTATGAGAGAGGACAAACGAGTTTAGATCTGTATAGGAAATTAGGAAAAGACACTGTAAGTGGATAGAACACACATTGAGGAAATCATCAAACTGCATGACGAGGCAAGCGTTAACTTGGTCTGCTGAAGGGAAATGGAAAAGAGGAAGGCCAGAGAACACACTGCGTCTGGAATTGGAAGCAGATATGAAAGAGATGAATTGCAACTGGAAAGGATTGCTCAGGACAGAGTTGGACAGATAATACTGGTAAGCGACCTATGCTCCTTTATGAGGGTAACAGACACTAGTAAGTAAGTAAGTAAGTAAGTAAGTAAGTAAGTAAGTAAGTAAGTAAGTAAGTAAGTAAGTAAGTAAGTAAGTAAGTAAGTAAGTAAGTAAGTAAGTAAGTAAGTAAGTAAGTAAGTAAGTAGTAAGTAAGTAAGTATAAGTAGTAAGTAGTAAGTAAGTATGTAACACAAAATGATTACTATAAAAGTTTTCTCTTCAAGGTTCATCCAACTTATCTTCACTTATAATCTGGCTTCTTCAGAAGTAAAGTGACACGTTTTAACGAAATTTGAAATCATTATCATTGCATATTTTTAGAAATTGCAGTTCTCTAATATCTCCTTTATTTGGAAATTATAGAAAAATTCCAAAAAATTTAAATACTATACTAAAACTTAAAATATTTACATTCAGATATTTAATATTAATAATTATCTTTACTCTTTATTTGGTATTCAATAACAGTTTGCTTTTTGACTACCAAAGTTAATAGTGATAAATTTATTGAGTCGAATAAACTTAGGAAAATCCATCATTTAATAATATTTTTAATTTCCTTTAAATTGTATTTACATTCATATTTACAACATAGAAAAACAAAATTTATAACACCTACATGAATTATAAAGTACTTAATTAGAAAAAAAAACATTATTTAAATGTCATTTCAAGCTATAAAAATGTTAATGTCTAACTTCAACTAATCCACAAAATTGAGTGACACATCCACCATTGTCTTCAGTGAGTTACTATCTCACCACTTCTTACTAGAACTCCAGGATATACCTCTTGAAGCCAGTCACCAGTGAGCATATGTTGATTAATATCAGAGGGGTTTTGTGGATATTATAGTAATTTCAGTGGTTAGGATCATAAGTCAGTTGAAGCTAGACCACCATGAGAAAACTGAAGGCACTAGACGGCCGTTTCCTCCTATTGTGGGACTCCTTAGCGGTGCGCACCCACGACCTCGCCCCCTGCGAGATTCGAACCCAGGACCTATTCGTTTCGCGCGCGAGCACTTAACCACTAGACCACTGAGCCGGCATGCAACGGTGTTAATGTCTAACTTCAACTAGTCCACGAAATTAAGCGACACATCCACCATCGTCATGAGTGAGTTACTATCTTACAACAGATCTGGTTGAACTCCACTGGTCACTACTTCTCACTAGAACTTAAGTGCTCGAGCGCGAAACCAGTAGGTCCTGGATTCGAAGTCGTGGGTGCGTACTGCTGAGGAGTCTCACAATGGGACGAAACGGCCGTCCAGTGCTTCCAGGTTTTACATGGTGGTCTAGCTTCAACTGGCTAATGATCTTAACCATTGAAATTACTATGATATCCACAAAACCCATCTGTTATAAAAATGTGTTTACGAAAATATTCAATATTTCATACACAAGATAAAAAGTGCACACATACATACATACATAAATATGAAGTGAAAACAAACATTTGAACAAATAAAAAGATTTAAAAAGTTGACAAAAATTTCAAAATTCAAGTGAAAAATTTATTTAAATTATCTACTTGTACAAATCTAAATTCACTTAAGAAAAAAATATAATCTCAATAATAATAGTGAAAATTAGAAGAACAAAAGTGATAAACCAAAGCATCATTTTCGTAGTAAAATTTATCTATTCTATATAAGTAATAAATAAATTTTGTGATATTTCTATATGAAACAAGTAAATAAACACGAATGATCATATAAAGGTACATGATAAAGTAGAAAATTGACTTTTTAATTATCATTAACAATTGTGCTAAATCAATTCATGGTTAATTTCAATCATAGTTTATAAGTATCGTTTTAGTTTGTTCTAATCTTCCAGATTTGTTTACATTTATGAAATGTGAAAAAAATATCTGCAACAACTATGTGAAAATGAAAATATACGAAGACATCAATCTTGACAGTAATGAAATGGGTTGTATGTAGTGTGATGTATCAATAATATATTGAAATATATGATGAAAAATGTTAGTTCATAGGTGATTGGGTGTTTTTTTAGCAGCCTTTTAGGATAAGATATTGTGTAACATAATCGTAAGAATTAGTATTTCTTGAAGCTAAATCTCTCTACTTAGTGATAATTTCATTAATTAATTTATTAAAGACGGTCAGCGTTAAGATCATGACATTATTAAATTGGCCACTGTCCAATATAAGTTTTTGCTTTGTCAACTGTTAATTGGCTGAACCCAGCTGACGGATTTCTATTATTAAACATATTCAACAGAGGATTCATGTAAAAATGAAAATTATCATTATAAACGAAATTACAAATCACTATACAAATAACATCGTAATTGAAATTTCAAACGTTTCAATATCAAAGAGGAAGAATGTATTTGTAAAATCTCAGGAAAATATTTTCCTTGGAAAAGCTTGGACCAGATTGCCAGGCGAAACGTTGGATTTACTTCAAATTCATTCTCTGAGATTTTACAAATACATTATTCCTCTTTAATGTCTCACATGAACTCGGCGCCTAAACATAGCGAAACTATTCATTTCAATATAAAATAGATTATTTTGGAAGGCTTCGAACAAGATATAATAGCCAGACCAATCAAAATATATCCTTCTAAATGTTTCTATAAACTCAATACCTAAAAAGAAAAAATTAATGCCATCTTGCATAATGAAATTTCTTTTGATTTTTTTAATTAAAATCACATTATCTAGATCATATAAATCATTTATATACGAATTTCAGAACTTATTTGACACATTAATTCCATACAACCGTTCGATATGAACTTAGGAAGAAGATATCTATATGGCTTCGTTAGACTAGAAATAATGTAAAACATTTAAAAGAAATATTTCACGAAAAAAAAGCATTTTTCCTTTATAACAGGACAAATATCAAAACGCAAAATTAAAGTAGCTAATATCAACTTCTATTGCACTTATTTTACGATGTTAGTTTTTTAACTATCCACATCGATTTCTTATCAAATATGGTAGGTTTAAACATTTAGATAAAATGATTAAGACAGTTTGGATTGTTTTAAATGATGAAAAAGTTTTTAAATGGAAGTGAATTGTTTTTCTTTTTGTTAAATCCAATAATCACTAAGTTACAACATGAAAGTTTTTATTCCCTATTGAATTGTCTCGAAAATGAATGGTATACAAATTTTACGTCTGTATGTTGTAAGAAATATCAGATGATTTGTATCTTTGTAAATAGAATAATTTAATAATCTTATCAAATGAAGATTTCGAATATAATTATTAATAGAACAAAACAAGTTTAAGGATACAAATCAGATATAAAATGTTAGCTGACAAAAATAGTAAAATTCATTACTGCTCACGATTACTTTATATTTATTTTCAAATATTACTATTATTTCAGATCTTTCAGGAGCGCACTACTTTTAGATTAGTGATTCTAAATTCAATCATCTGCATTTTCGGATATATATTCAATTCTTCGCATATATCGCAACGACCATTCAGTATAACAAGTAATGCCTGCTCCAATTACACCACTAGTCACATTTTATTATTAACATGAGAATTTATTTTGACATTAGTCGACCGTAAGTACACGTTTACAGATTAGTTTCTTATTATAGCAACTGTGAAACAGTTTTATCGTAGACTAATTTTATACTGTCGAATGGCTGAAGTTGATTATCTAACCCATTTAACGTACACACAATATTTTTAAGTAGTACGCTCAGTGTTACACTAAATATTTTATGATCACTCATTGATGTGTTCATAGACGTATAGTCTCAAACTAAAACAGAACAGCTTCTCAGTGTTCCTTAATTTTGAATGATTCCTCAGCTGAATTAAGTATAATAATCTTGAAATTACCTATTAACTTAACTTTTACCTACGGGACTAATTAAATCCATACTGAGGACAATTTAATGAAACAATCAAAACAAAGATACTTTCACTTTGAATTAAATAAGTGATTAATCATTTTTCTACTCATTTCAGTTTCAAACAATAATAATATTCACCAAAATAGGTGATTATAAATATCCACTTTAATATTAAGCTTGATACACTTTCATATATAACGTAGCTACTTCGTTCAGTATAAACTTTATCGTGAATTAACCTATAGTGATTTATTTGGAATCTTGCGTGGTAATCACATGCGAATATGCATTAAAATATGAAAGTAAACAACCAAGGTTCAATCATATTTATAATTTTGTAATAATTGAACGTAAAAATTATTTTCGTGCAATACCAAACAGTTAACTCAAAAATCGTTATACTCAATAATTTAGCTACTTCAAAAGATATAACTAGTTTTCTACAATAATAAATAGCATTAGTGTATTAAGCAATTAGTTCATTTATTCATGAATAACATCCATAACATTTCAGGTAGTTGAATAAATGGTTCAAAAGTTTGTAGTGGTATATGTGAATTTAGTTTAAAATTGACAATATAGTAGTTGTAAATAATTTGTATTGATTACTGGGTTCCAGGTTTCACTGAATGATATAACAAATAAAGCACACAACAACCAACTGTGGAGTTACTTAGCTAGATTGAATCATTAAAGATGACAAGCAACTATTACGATTGTTTGAAATCTCAGGTATTATGGCTGTAATTAGCAGTGAATATCATTTACCGTTTTAAACTTTGTTCCTAATTACAAGCGTGTACTGAAATGAAAATTCATCTAGACTAATCATATTATGACCTGTACAGCGGAATTTGATCAACAGTAAGCACTAAACAATATGACATTGACTGCCACTCAGTGATCGGTAAGCAATAAATTTTGTATTCAACAATTAAAATACAACTTTCTTCCAGAGTCTATGCTACTTTTTATTCAGCATTTACTGATGTATATTATAGTGTAGAGACTCGTTAGTATAAGAAACATATATAAAAGTTGAGAGACCTATGTGTAAATATGTTGTTATGTCCTGACATTTGCTGCACAATTCAAAACACTAAGTAATTAGTGAATTCAAGGATTATTACTTTAAGAAAACGTACGCACTCATCAAAATCATACTTCCAATTCTGTTGATTCAGCCCTCCAACTATTAGGAAGACAAAATCTATCTTGCGACTGAAATACAATACAATTAATGAATAAATATCACTCTCTTTATTAATTAAAAATAGCATTTAAATAATTACAACTTAAATTTTATACTGAACAAATATCAAAACTAAGTGAATACATAATAAAACTTACCTGGATGCATACTGAAAGAAAGAATCATTGAATTCTGTCAAAACTTAGTTTAAACAATTAACACATTGAATTAATCAGTAATTTTACTCTTTATTCAAAGTATATATTTTTATAGTGTATATATATTTATACTTCTGACAGAAATTAAACGAATTTGAAATACATCTGAAGCTGTTCTAAACATGTGAAACTACTAATTTAAACAAATTAAAGCAAATAGACATGTACAGAATAAGACATAATTTCGAACACAGTATTTCGGTTATTGTATAAGTAAACTTTTTCCTAGATTTTAGTGAAATACAAATATTCAACCTTTAGTTTAAAAAAATTTTCAATCAGACAACAAAACAGACGCAATTATTTTTGTGCAATCAATTCAGTACCTTTATAACGTCCATGTGTTCACTAGTGACTAGCTTCTTGAGGGAATTCTCGGAGTTCTAATGAGAAGCCGTGATCAGTTGACCTGATCCTTGTGGGGTAGATACAGGTATTTACCTCAGTACAATGGGAGATGAGAGCACAATTTCGTGGACGCGTTGAGGTTAGACACTGACACTGTTGGATGCCGAATTAGTCCTGGGTTCGAAGTCGTGGATGCGCACTGCTGACGAGTCCCACAAAAGGACGAAATGGCCATCCAGCGCTTCCAGGTTTTCAATGGTGGTCTAACATCAATTGGTTCATGATCTCAATCAAAAACTTAGCAATCTGCACAACCTTATACTGATGATGTCCATTCTATTATATAAAATATTTTATATAGAAATAACACTTGGCAAAATTTATTTTCCGAAAACTAATTCATGATATAATTAAATTAATTTTTAAAAAATACATTTCGCTGACAAAGAGTCTTCGTATATAAACAATGTGTTAATTTTAACTAAAAAGGATTAGCACATAACCAACTTTTTAAAATGTTGATTTGGTAGTATAGGATGGATTTTGTAAAATTAGTTTAAAAATCAAATAATTCACTTAGAAAAATGTTTATAATGAACGTTTCTTACTCCATACATAGTAACCTAATTTTATAAGTAGTATATATGAATATAAATTTCTATGACCACAGTTTTCTTGATATTTCTTTCATATACGTTCTCAATCTAATTTTTTTTCTTTGAAAAGAATTACAAGATTAACTCATCAACTTAGATTTTTGTTGAGCATGCGCGTGATAAACTATGCAAAAAGATTTTAAGATCTTCGTGATTTTGATATTTTTATTTATCATCTACTTTTGATTGATGCATAACACTGTGGCCATGTTAATGTATAAGGGAACTATAATAATTTAAAAATTCTTCATTTGCTTTTGTATTATACATCTCATTTAAAAGTGTAATTGTATCACATGAATGTTAGGTATAATACAGTTGGTTGCATATACTTTAATTTATTTTAGAATATTAATTGTAAAAAAAAAATAGTTTTAGATTCTAAGATCATTTGAACAATAAATTTAAGCCTAAAACAAGGTTATAAAACATTTATGCTAATTTTACCATTATTCTACACCATTCAATGGTACATTATTTTCAAATAATCTTATCACGTAATAGGATGAAAATACTTAACTAAATATCCTTTTTGTATATAAATTAAATAATTCGGATATCAGTAAAATAGTTCTAGAGTTTATTAAACAGCTTCTAAAATATTGTGATCTTTCAGTGTTTATAAAATAAACTAATGAAACGACATTTTAGCTGATCATGTTTTTTTAAAATTGAAAATCTCATTTGTATTCTATTAAGCCAAACACGTCTCCAAGCAGTTAATTTCTAAAAATAGAAAGTTCTTTATTGTAATCTCAACAAGCTGAAATGACTTCATTATCTATTAGGATTAAATGGAAAGATTATTTTTGACTACCTATAAGTATTTGTTAGTGGGACATAGACTAGATTAAAGCATGCTCAATGCATGATCGCTTTGGTGCACGCTGATTGGCTAATTCTTATCCAATCAGCACTAGTCGATAGTTGGAGAATACTCTGGAATCTTCT